CTCGCTTGTGCAATGCATGACACATTTCCCATCCCAACGTGGCATGCAGCTGATTCCAGCCGCGCTTGGTCTCAATAAAATAAAAAAACACAAAAAGCTGTAGTGGAAATTCCTTAAGCGTTTATAGAATTGTGTGTGGAAGTACCGGTATCCTACTGTGTTTGTCATTGGCTGGGAGAATGCCAGCTGCACAGCACCGATCGAAACCTAATGAACTCTCAGATTTTATTTACCCTACTGTGTCAGTCCTCTCGAGTTGTGCACTGCTTGAGTTGGTACCGGTATATTGATACCAGCCATTTTTATTAATTAGGTAAACCTTTAAAACTTTATCTTATAGTTCAGCCATAAACTTTTGTGAAGCATTTTCAGTTGCTTGTTTTTTGTCAAACTCTTAAAAAAAACAGAAGATGTAGATGCTGTAATATCTATATCTATCTATCTATATATATATATATATATATATATATATATATATATATATATATATTATTTTTTTTCACCAAAGTTATTGCATTAAATTTCCTTAAATTTGACTACAGTAGCTGGTGAGTGTTTTTCTCTCATCATTTTACCACCTCTCTTTCTATTATTATTTTCTATTCATCATCCTGCATTGCCCGCAACATCTTTTCTTTATTTGTCAGGTTTTTATGTATTTGTCATTTCAACAAATTCTCGAGCCTGATCAGCCGCTTGCTTTTAATATTGGTTTCCGCTTGTGTGGTCACTGTGGTTGACGGCACAGAAGTAACTCACCAGCTGCTGCATCATTTGCACAATCTCTTTATATGCACATCGATTTCTCTCACAATCTGTTTGCCAGACAAAGATGGAAGACAAACATGTGCCTGATAATGAAATTACTTGTTCTAGTGTACTCAGAAAGTGATTAATGTTCTATTTTTTCCAGCCATAAGGGCCGCTCCATGCAAATCATCTCCCTAAAAAGAATATTTTAACCTGACCATTTCAGATATGATTTAACTTGACATATTTGTCTATTGTGATCCCACCACACAGGATCTCAAATTTTAGATCAATCAGGAGTGGTTCCAGAGTTACCGTCACCCAAATGTTTTGAATGTATACATAATTGGGTGTGGTCACCAATCTACAACCCTAATTATCTCAGGAACTACAGAGTCCATTTTATATATAATAAATATAGAATACTATAGAATGTAAATTTTAACTCTGTCTGCAAAGTCTGAGCTTCATTTTAGTGTCACAATGTTCAGTCCAGTGCCAAATGGAAAAATACCTATACCTTTACTAAAACGTCTTTAACTTTGCTCAAGTGTACTTCAGCAGCATGAATCTTTGCACAGGTCATGTCCACATGTTGATTTATGGTTTTCTAGAGTTTTGTAGTTTTCATCATATTCTCAAAGGGGTTTTATACTCTAAGATACAGAAACTATTTAGGCAAGTAATTATTATTTTTTCTTGTGTTCAGTCCTCATTTTCTGTGAAACGGTAGCATCTGTGGTGATGCTTACACTTCTAAATACACTACAAATGCAGGAATGCAATTGTGTACATTTGTAATGCATTTCATAGTTTATTTCTGCTTATGCATATTTTTTGTGAAAATTGTACGTTTTCGCTAACGAGTAATAAACTTGATAACAAGTTAGGTTAATCTAGAAGCAGTATGAGTTTAATCCATAGTCGTAGAGATGCACTACTTGTGCATGCATGTAATTATGTACATTTATATTGGAATCTATGGCTTATTTGTACTGAGTGTTTTGTTTTTTTTTGTAATCAAAATTGCTCCTAAACAAAAAAAATAACTTTTTAAAAACAATTTTTTATTTTAGATAACAAGTGGGCAATTTAATTTCAGGAAAGCTCAGGGGCAGATTTGGCATCCTCATAAAATTATCTTTCCAGTTACACCAAGTTTATAGAAAATGTCCCTGAGATAATGGGTTGAAAATCAGTGACCACACCTATTTTTTACCAAAAATCAGAAAATTTGGAGGGCCGTCTTTCTGGGATCACTTGTTTGTTTCACCTAAACTTTGAGAACAAATCAAAATCTGAGATGATCGAGTTAAACCCACTGGGGGAAGATTTGGCAATGAAGACTAAAGAGTGTTGTTTATAACTGATTTAAAACAAAATGATCAGTTTTTTGGGGTTTTGTCCACAGTGGATTTAAAAAAAAATTGTTTTAGTTAAAATTGTTCACTCAGGCTGAACAAATAACCAAATGTAAAAAAAATAAAAAAATTAGCAGCACAAATTGAGACCTCGGCGCCTTCTTTTTACTACCTTTAGCACAGGAAACACAGGACTAACCTTTATTAAAGAACGTATTTCTAATTCTACAATCCCTTTCACCTTCAGCATTTAAATTTGTCCTTCATCTTTTTGTTACAGTCCCAGTGACTGAATTTGAGTAAATGTGACTGTGCATCGCACAAGAAACGTTTTTTCTTCTTTTGCTTTTGATTCAAATTTTTAACTCATAACCCTGATGGTGAAGTATCATGCACTACAAATATACTATATAGCCTCCCTGAAATAACATGCACTTTGTTAAATATTTATTGAAACACTTGTAGTTCCATCTCTGCAGCTTATTATGTGGCCATTTTTCAATTTTCCACACTTGCAGTCATTTTCTAAGTTCACAATCCTTTTTTTAAATAGCGTTTTCCCAAGAAATCAATGAAAAACCTGTAGAAAAACACAATATTATAACTTCTTGACCTCAGGTCGTTCAGTGAATATTGTGTGATTTAGATTTTCTTGCGTCTCTTGACCTACAACTTATTAATCCTCTTTCAGTTCACTAAATTACACTCAACATAATTGATCAATTTTCACATTCATGTTCAGTTTAATCCATTTTTATTTAATTGAATTTCTACCTTTGGTTTGCATCAGTGTTTTCCTGCTGCTTTGATGACATACAGCCAGCACAGTTGTTGATTTTAGGGGCTTGATCTGATTTGATTTAGATTGCATGCCGCAGACGTTACCCTGGACAAAGTTGAAATGTTAGAAGTCACTCTGTAGGAGAAGTCTTCCTCTTAGTCTGACTCATCCACAGTTTAATCACAGCCTTTATAAAAATGCGTATGCTGGCTTTCGTTAGCAACGTCCTCTTTGTTCTCCTCATGAGATTCAAGGAAGAGGAAAAACAGGCTGCCACAAAGGAATAATTTCCCTAAATGGAGACCGTTCTGCTTTATATTTCTTCCTCATTTTATGAGTCACAAGCTCCCCTCCCCCCCGTCATTCCTGTCATTGGTACGGTCCATAAATAGACACCTGGCTGCAGTGTAGAGACCATGAGGCAGTGTAATAGAAAATAAATTAATTCATCAGAGTCGGGGAAGCTGTGAAACGAGAAACGTTGAGGGACAAGTAAAGTAGAGACAGAAGAAATTAACTAAGAAAATCATTAAAAAACACTTTAAAAACCACTTTTGAATAGTTTTATATGAACGTCCTTGTCTTGGATTTATTTTATAATATAAATGTATTTTATTTTAATTTTATACCCAAGCTTGCACAGAGCTGAAATGTTACTAATCTTTAAGGTGTGGGGGCACATTGGTGCGATCTTTGCTCCAATTCTGAGCACATTTCTTTTCCGTGTTCACATTGAAGGACATTTTGCTCCCACTGTCTTTCTCGCTGACATCCAGACGCAACAAACGTGGACTCAGGTTCTGTATTCAGCAGCTAATTTACCTGTTTGTCGCTTGGTTGCACAGATGCAGCACAGGCACGGCCGGTTCGAGTTAAGACAGTCTATCAAAGGCACACATTCCTTGCGTCCTCAAGTTTCCCTCGTTTTTAACAAATCTAATTTGGCAAACTCTTAACAAGACCGTTGCATTGTGGGGTTGCGATGATAATCCTGAAGGATGAATCCCCAAAACTTTCAAATTGATTTAATTTTAGTGACTTATCTTATGGATCACAATCAAATATTGTATAAATTTGTCCTCCTGACGATAACTTCCCTTTTAAAGACATTCCTCTTTTTTTTCCTGCTGTGATTTTTGTTTCGTGGTGATTTTAGCAAACGTTGGCAGCATCCTAAAACCCGCAGAGCAAAGCTGTGGACTCTTGCTGCTTCTGTAAACAATATGAACAGATTGACAGATTTCCAAATGACTATGTCCTGTGAGTTTATTATTAACTAATTAGTTTTAGGTTTAAAGGCAGCTACTTCCTCTGTTACCCTAAACTATGTTAAATGAAGTATTAATCATGATAATAACTCATTCTGACATCTTCTTTAATCACTTTCCTTTTTTGCTCCTTTTCTTTAATTTATTCCTTTAGCTGATGGAGCGGAGGGGAAGATGCGTCATGTTTCTACTGAAAACAATAAGATGCTCTTTTTAATAAAATGTTAGAAATGACAGGACATTTAGAAGGAAGCAGACACAATTTAAAAATATTACTGTATAGGGAGAAGACTTATAGCTTATGTTGTCTCTTTTATTTTAAAAGAAGCTACATGCAGACAAGCTTTGAAGAAAAAGAGACGTTAACGTGCAGAACCTGTTTGTGTTTTGATGAATAACAAATAAGGATTGAAGCAGAAATGTTTCATATAAGAAATATAAACCCAAGCAGGGAGCGACCTCTTTCTGTCTCTCTCTTTATAGACGTCCAACCTGCACAGCCTGTTCAACGTGCTTTTTTTTTTTTTTTGTCTCTTCAGTGCTTCAACCCTGCCAGCCGGGTTTCTCTGTGTGGGTGAGACTAAATTTACAGGCCTAAGTTGAGAGGGTACTTGCTGCAGAGGTGTTTGTCTGAAGAGGGATCAGAGCAAACAGGTAGAAAGCAAAGGAATAGATGGACTTATTTAAAGTATTGAAGCCTGGAGCGTGTACTTTCCTGTTCACCATGACCACAGCCTTGTTTGTTGTTTTTTTTGAGAACATTTTTATCTGGAGGACAATCCGTGTGTTGATAAAATGCATGTATGCATTTATTTGTTTTCTCTCAGGTAGAAGTGACACCACTTCAGATGAGGGAACATGTTGGCCATGGACCAAGGAGTGGTGGAGGAATGGCTGTCAGAATTTAAGGTACGGTTTTATTCCTTGTGCATCTGTGTACCTGTGTGTGTTCAAGACATGAAAGTGAATCAACATTTGTCCACGATCTGTATGCAGTATGTTCTCTGCTGCTTTTTATGACTATTTATTTCACTCGCATAAACAAACACTCCCCGAAGTGCTTTGTTGGCAGAAAATTACCAGCTCCCACTCAAACACAAGCACTCACCAGTACTTGACTGGTACCAAAGCTGCAGCTTGATGAGAAGTAATAATTAAAGGCCTAGCATTTCATGAAGGAATGCATATTGCCCACTAACTTATTTAGAGTTTTAGATGCTCAAAGTATGTGTTGCAGATGACTCTCGGCTACTAACACATCAAATTTTAGCTCAGTGTTTGTAAAATTGACAGAGTTAAAGCCATTTTTGGATTATTTTTTTTTTTAATTGCAGTGTCAGCCTTAATTGGATTTAAAATATAATCTTGTAAATGTACATTAGTTTTACCATTCTGATTGTTTTGTCAAAATGAATGTAGTGCAGGGCTATTTAACAAAACTACTCAGGGGGCCACATTGTCTGAAAGCCAACAGCTCGGGGGCCGGACATCCAGCGATTAAAATTATTATATAAATAAACCAAAGTTTACAAATCTGTTGTTACCTTTTTAAATGTGTTTATTTTATAGTATTGAATCATAAATGCAATAAACAGAACCACCCCCCCATTATTATTATTTTTTTTTAATGAAGTGGGCTGGATTGAAGTCACCCGTGGGCCGGAAATGACTAGTGGTTTATGAGATATTTTACAAATAAATAGGATTGAGTCCTATTACCTGTTGTTTGTACTACAATTTGAAGTAAAGACCTCAGGCAATGAGTAGTACTTATTATTTTTTCATTCAACCTTTATTTAGACACATGAGTCACATTGAGCCTAGAAGACTCATTTACAAGTGAGATCTGTTTTATACAGACAAAAAGTAGTGAAACTGGACACTTGTAGGAATTGGAGGCGAAAAAATTCCCATCAGACTTTTTTTTTTTTCTGCCTGAGAAGAAAAAACTCTGATATTAAAAAACACCTCGCACAAACTTATTATGAGTGTCCGCGTTCCCGATCCATACTCAGTATATATTGGGATTGAATCTCAGCTACAGGTACTCCAAATTTTAGAGCAATATTTGTAAAGTTTGCTATATCCTGGCCATTGTTGTTTTGAAGGTCATCCCATCTTGAATTGGATTGGCTGGAAAAGTTAGTCTGTTTTAATTTGGCCAGAATTTGACTTTATTAGAGTTGCATTAAAATTTAAAAATGTTCAGTCATCTGGACAGTTTCTTTCTTTTTTTTTTTTTTTTACATGTTTTGTCCTTCATCCAAAGGACTTCATCAGTCCAAGGAACTACAAACAAATTCAGTCCAACAAGCAGCACACTAGCATAGTGGACCAACCAGTTTACTAGTGATAAGATGGTTTCAGGGGCCCACCCTCTCCCCCATCAACTCCTCTGAGGCAGCCATAGCCAAAGTGGTTCAAAACATCAAAGTTCATGCTCAGTGATCCAGGTAAAAAAAAATCCAACAATGTTCAGTCAGGTCATCTGAACAGTTTCTTTTTTTCATGAGTCCGAGGAACTAATGAAGTCCTTTGGATGAAACGCCTAAAAAAAAGAAGGAAAGAAAGAAACTGTCCAGAGGAACTGATTAAGT